ATAGAGATAGATAGATGAACATATTGATAAATATATAGATATACAGACAGACAGATAGACAGACGGACAGACATATAAAGACAGAGAGAGTGAGAGATAGACAGACAGACAGAGAAAGAGACAGAGAGAGACAGAGACAGAGAGAGTGAGACAGACAGAGAGAGAGAGAGAGAGAGAGAGAGAGAGAGAGAGAGAGAGATAGAGATAAGTCTTCATGAGCGTACGTACGTATGTGTACCCAAGCGTGCGTTATCTGTATGAGTAACTATTATATAACCATGCAGTACCTACCTCCCTCCCTCCCTCCCTCCCTCCATCCATCCATCCATCCCTCCCCTTCCTCCAACCCTCCTTCCCTCCAACCCTTCCCTCCCTCCATCCCTCCCTCCCTCCCCATCCAGCCCTCCAGGATAGATAATGAATACGGGCGTGTTGACACCGTAGAGTGCCTGAGCAAACGCGCAAACGAAGCCCCGGCTGTGACTCTCACTCCATCTCTCTCTCGATTTTGTTTACCTTCCTCCTTCAGCGTCGCGGCGCCCATCATCCCTGGGGTCGCGATAAACTCCCTCCGTCACGCCTCATTTTGCGGATTTTTTATATGTGTTATAATTATGTATATATTATGAATTAACGATTAACTCCTCCGCCCTGATGGTCCCCGAGGTCGTAATGGTGTTTTTATCTCATTTTTTTTTTTACCTTTTACCTTTTTTTTCATCCTTTTTTTTTACTTTTTCGATAGTTTTTTTTCCTTTTTTCCATTCTCTTTTTACTCTTTCGTTCCTTTTTTTTTACTTTTTTTGAGTTTCTTTCCCTTTGTTTCGCTCATTTTTACTTTTTTTACTTTTTTCTTTTTTTTCTTTTCTTTTCATTCTTTTTTTACTGTGGCTGTTTATTTCCCTTTCTTTCTCTTCTGTCTATCAGGACGACGTCTGGTTCGTGTTCCCTGCAATCGGCGTGATATTACGATCTGAACCCTGGTGTTTATTTTCCTTATCTTTATTGTTTGTGTGTCTATCTTTTTCTCTCTCTTTCTGCTATTCCCTCGTTCTTTTGTGAGGATTACTTGTGTTCTGAGATTTTCATTGTGTGCGTTTTTTCTTGTTTTTTCTTTTCTTTTTTCTTTTCTTTTTTTCTTTTCTTTTTTCTTTTCTTTTTTTTCTTTTCTTTTTTTTTCTCCTTTTCTTTTTCTTTTCTTTCTTTTTTATTCTTTTGTTTTGTTGTTGTTGTTTTTTTTGTCCTTTGACTTTCATTTGCTTTCGAAAGTGTTGTAAGTCCTGAGAATTTTATCATTTTCATTAATATTATTGTTTTTTGTATTTTTTTTTTCTTCTTTTTCTTCTTCACCGTACGTTCTTCTGCCATATATTCCTTATTCTCTTTTCTTCATAGTTTGGTATTCCAGTGACCGAAAACCAAATTTAAAAATCTATGTCAATCTTATATTCATACCAAGGAAGATTTAACAGCCAACTTAATTCTAATTGTGCATCATCACTTTTGGTGAAAAAATATATATATATTATAGGTTATTTCCCCATCTTTCCCCTGACAACCTTTTCTCTATTTTTTTTGCTATTTGTAGGAGAAAAAATGTAAAAAAAAATGCTTGTTAGTGTCTTTTCCTCTATCCACTTAATTCCAGGTTCCCTTTGCTAAAACAACTTGCTGGAGGGAAAGACTTCGCCCTTCGATAAACGCCAGTTGAATAAATTTTCGGAAAATAGACCAGAGGGCGTGCGTTCGTCCCCCCCCCCCCAGTTTGTTTTGTGGAATGGGAAAAACGCAGGTGGAGGATATAAGGAATCTGAACATCCGCATAAATCGCAGCTACGAAAAAATAAAGGATCTGAATATCTGTATAAATCACAGCTAAAAAAAAATAAGGAATCTGAACATCTGTATAAATCGCAGCTACGAAAGAATAAGGAATCTGCATAAATCGCAACTACGAAAATATAAAGGATCTGAATATCTGCATAAACTGCAGCTAAAAAAAAAATAAGGAATCTGAACATCTGTATAAATCGCAGCTACGAAAATATAAGGATCTGAATATCTGTATAAATCGCAGCTAAAAAAAAAAATAAGGAATTTGAACATCTGTAAAAATCGCAGCTACGAAAAAATAAGGAATTTGAACATCTGTAAAAATCGCAGCTACGAAAAAATAAGGAATTTGAACATCTGTAAAAATCGCAGCTACGAAAATATAAGGATCTGAATATCTGTATAAATCGCAGCTAAAAAAAAAATAAGGAATTTGAACATCTGTATAAATCGCAGCTACGAAAAAGTAAGGAATCTGAACATCTGTAAAAATCGCAGCTACGAAAGAGTTATGGATCTGGATATCTACACAAAACGCAAATGTGGGGAATAAAGAATCTAAATACATGTATGAAAATAGATACGGAAGAATAAAGAATTTGTATATCTGTATAAAACACAGCTAATGGAAATAAAAGCTCCGAATATTTGTCTCGAATCGTCGTTT